GTCCCTGACACTACCCCTGCGCCACTCACTCTTTTCACACAATCTCAAACACATGACACTCATCGCGAGCTCTTGACGTTCTCTAAAGCCACTCGGGGGAAACAACTTGCTCACATCACAGTCGGTAGATTGATAGGGACGCACTTTTATACGCTTTTTTTTTTCTCCACACACACACACACACACACACACAGATTCTGTTTTATCATGACATGTCGACACAAGTGAAACATGCAAATAGAGCAATCTTTTTTTCTCTTTTAGTGACATATTTGCAGCTAAGTGCTCACTGCTGTGGTGGAGCTCCCACATATCACCTGTCAATCAAACAATGTGGGTGTTACAAAAAAAACCTGCTTATCTTTGGATGTTGTGTTAAATCAGTTTTTTGAGCGTCTGAATGTGCTGCTCTCTAGATTTGTTTATGTTTAAGTGTGATGTGTCATAATAAACCCAGAAGGCTAAATACAAGCTGATTAATACAGTAGTCCTATCTCAAGTAATTGTCTGGAAGCCCATTTTTTTCCCACTGAAAGGGAACAATTACCCTGGAAGTCGTTAAAATTAACACAATAATATGTCATTATTTGGACTCATTATGTCATGATCTTATTATTTTGACTCAGCATCTTAGCATTTTGACTTACTATGTCATTATTACAACACGGTATCTCATTTATTTGACTCAGAATCGTATTATTTTCACGACTTAGTATCTTAGTATTTTGAATTTTCTCATTGATTTGACTAAGTATCTCGTTATTTTTGACTTAGTAGCTTAGTAATATGACTTATTATTTCAATTATGTGACTTTTTATCTCATTATTTAGACTTAGTATCTTTGTATTTTCTCATTAATTTGACTTAGTATCTTCGTATTTAGATTTTTGATCTCATTATTTTGATTTACTATCTCATTATTTTGACTTAGTAGCTTAGTATTTTGACTTATTTCAATTATGTGACTTTTATCTCATTATTTTTGATTTTATATTTTGAATTTTCTCATTAATTTGACTTAGTGTCTTAGTATTTTGACTTCTTATCTCATTATTTTGACTTCTAATCACATTATTTTGACTTAGTATCTTAGTATTTTGACTTATTCAAATGATGTAAACCTTGACATAGTTAGTCAAAGCTACAGGTTGTTGTGACAGAAATAGTCTTCCATACTTTTCACCTCCTTGTTCAAGAGGAGTTTCTGTGCTTAAAATCTGCCTCACATCGTGTTCAGAGGAGCAAAAGTTGACTTTAGTGGATTATTCCTTGACGTTGAGTGTGTGTGAGATCAAGACTAGACATACAGATGGAGGGAATATATCTCACATCATTATTTCGGAGCACACAGATGTCTGCCAGTAAACACTGGGCGCTGATCAAAAGAGTTTTAATGGAGCGGATCTTATGTGGCCAATATTAAGCCAATCAGGATGAAATCACTGACAGCGCTCAACGATTGTCAGGGAGGAGAGGAGAGAAAAACGGGATTTAAGTGTGTGTGAAGAGGACAGAGAAGTGTGTGTCTGTTCTTGACCAAATGATAAGTGTGTGTGTGTGTGTGTAAAGAGTGGATTTGTGATTTAAATATTTCTGCCTCCCAAAAGTCTCTGCTCCTGTAGTTTTACCCTGGTTTCATCTGAAGCGATTCCACCTGTCTGACTCCAACCCTTAGGAGGCTCCTGAGGGCCAAACAGCTTCATTTGAGCTCCTAACAGCCCAGTCTATTGCTCTTATTCACAAACAATGTTTCTTCCTTCACCCCTTTGTCCAAAGTAGACACTCATTTACCGCTCCCGCTTTTCCTACTTTGCGTATAACACCTTTGTTTCTGAAGAAAGTCTTTAGTATGTGTATTTAACGGTTATGCCACGGTTACATATGCCATAAAAGTGCTGTGAATATGAATTTAGAGGTTGTGTTTTTCTAAAAATGAATGCTAATGTCATGGTTATACATGACTCTTACTGGTTAAACAACTGATTCAGGTATTAGTTGAAGAAAATGTGATTTTAAAAGTGAACTCTTTATTTAGGGATTTTTTTTTATTTCAAAATTGACAATAAAAGAGAGCAATCATTTGACAAAAATAATATTAAAGGTGGGGTAGGTAATTTTGGAGAAACCAGCTCGAGTGCGCGAGAATTTGAAAATACACAACCGGAGAAAATCTGCCACTTCCTTACAGAGCTCCTCCTCCAACACACACGAACGCGCACATGACCAATGAGGGCACGAGATAAGTTTGTGCACAGATGGAAGGCTGACAGGCAGGTAGGCCATCCAGTTATTTTAGCCGGGCCGGCTCAAATGATTGGTCGTACTTTTTACAGTACTACGGCTTCCACAGATGATATTTTTGTATGGATTTTTTGTCAAAGCACTTAAGATATTCATTGCTATCGGGATGTTAAGAGCATTCCATGGAATATAACAAAAAGTGTATCTCGAGCCGGTTTCTCAAACTTACCTACCCCACCTTTAATTTAAGGTCCAATTTCTAGCTTTTTCTGGGGCTAGTAGTTGTCTTCTTGTGACCTTTTCTAGGTATTTTATTTAATATGAATAGAGGTATATAAATAATATTATCTACTGAGCTGAAAGCCGAAAGATAAAACCCGTAAATGGTCCTTGAGTTAATTTCTTTTTTAAAGAAAGGTCAAGAATAAACCTTAACACTATTTTATTTGTATTTAACCTTTATTTAACCAGATAAAAACATTGAGATACAATCTCATTTACAATGCTGACCTGGCCAAGAAGGCAGCACCGTTACACGTTCTTACACATAACACAGACTTAATTGGACATTAGTTAAAAATAGGTTTAACCCAAATGCACTTCCTCTCAGTGGTGAAATCCTCCTACAGGTCATCTTATCCAGGTCTTTCTGTCTCGAACAATACCTTTTTGTTATTCCTCCACTACCTATTCCACCAAACTGTACCCCCCCCCCCCCCCCCTCTATATGTTCTGTCTCTGTGGGGCTCATTACCTTCCTCTGTCAGACTAGAGTCACTGTGTTTCCTCCCCTGTCACCGCCACTTTGGCTAATATGATATACGGTTATATTACTTTTCGACCCCAGAGGCTTCCCGACCAATCAGAGGGAGGCAGGGCAGGTAAAGTGACCTTGACACCTGTGGTAATGGGGATGGAGAGAGGTGAGGAAGACTACACACTGATGGGGGGGGGGGGGGGTGTGTGTGCAGTAGTCAGTTTATCTTTTAAGGATTGTTTGACGGGTAAAATGTTAGCGGCTGCAGAGAGAGAAGAATTCATAACCGGGGAAATAAACCGTGAAAGGTCAAGTTGTTGGGAGTCTAATTAGAGTTTCCTCTCATGAACGTGTTGTAGGACCAGATCTCAGACTCCGAAGCTTCCCAAACGTGTGGTTAAATGTTTTTAAACCTAAAGAGAATAACGAGTTGTCCATGAGTTAACACACCTGGATAGTTAAGGCTCTCTTTTTCCCACAGGAGGATAAAACACACTCACAAAGGATGACTCAGCTGTTTGCAGTAGATATCGATCAGTGTGTCTCGCACAGCTGCACTGATATTGAACACATCTCGCCCCTAATCTCTGATTCAGAGCACACGTTAGCATAGTTTAGGAAAGTATTGTGCTAACATCGTGCAATGGGTAGATAATAAAACAGCGAAAGTGAACTGATCTGTCCGCAACACAATGCAACACAAGATAAGCTGTGAACACTACTTATGACTCTGTGTTCTAACGCTGGTACCAGTAGATTATATATTTAAGTCCTTTAGATAACAACAAAGGAGTGTGTGGGAGGGAACTTTTGGGATGTTAGCCTTTGCATACCGCATGCAAAAATACTAAACACCACACGACAGGAAAGGGAAAACCCCAAAAAGCATGATAGGGCCCCTTTAATGTAATAATGTGTTGCTGTTACACTATGTCTTCATTTTTTCAAGGTTTCTTGTAAAGCACTTAAAATAAGTCAAAACGTGCTATAAAAAAAATTGAGAGAGAGACTTGATGCACAAGACTGTTATGTTATTATTGGTGTATATTTCAAAAAGCCCAATTACAATGTTGAAGGAAATACCTGTAGAATGTAATTACATTGATTAAAGTTCACTTATTATCTATCCATCCATCCATCCATCCATCCATCCATCCATCCATCCATCCATCCATCCATCCATCCATCCGACTATCTATCCATCCATCCATCCATCCATCCGACTATCTATCTATCCATCCATCTATCCATCCATCCATCCATCCATCCATCCATCCATCTATCCATCCGACTATCTATCCATCCATCCATCCATCCATCCGACTATCTATCCATCCATCCATCCATCTATCCATCCATCCATCCATCCGACTATCTATCCATCCATCCATCCATCCATCCGACTATCTATCCATCCATCCATCCATCCATCCATCCATCCATCTATCCATCCGACTATCTATCCATCCATCCATCCATCCATCCGACTATCTATCCATCCATCCATCCATCCATCCATCCATCCATCCATCCGACTATCTATCTATCCATCCATCCATCCATCCATCCGACTATCTATCTATCCATCCATCCATCTATCCATCCGACTATCTATCCATCCATCCATGCATCTATCCATCCATCTATCCATCCATCCATCCATGCATCTATCCATCCATCCATCCATCCATCCATCCATCCATCCATCCATCCGACTATCTATCCATCCATCCATCCATCCATCCATCCATCCATCCATCCATCCGACTATCTATCCATCCATCCATCCATCCATCCATCCATCCATCCATCCATCCATCCATCTATCCATCCATCCATCCATCCATCCATCCATCCGACTATCTATCCATCCATCCATCCATCCATCCATGCATCTATCCATCCATCCATCCATCCATCCATCCATCCATCCATCCATCTATCTATCTTTGTAACAGTCTGATTTGGCAAGTTATTTTCCCCACGTCTCTGCAGTCTCACCTGAACATGTCTCCGAGTCCTTTCAGCATGCCCTTCTTGGCCTTCCCCTTGTCTTTGTCTTTCTCCTTCCCTCCCTCCGGCTTCTTCTTCTCCTTCCCCGTCTTGTCTTTGTCTTTCTTCTTCTCCTCTTTGGTGCGATTGGTGCCGTTGACGAGGGGTTTCTCGGAGCCGGACAGCGGGGTCAGATCGGCCACCGTGGACACCGAGTCCCTCCCCGAGCGAGAACTCTCCTCCGTGTCCTCCTCCACTGCAGGAAATATACAAGAAGAAGAAGAAGAGGGCCACAGAAAGACACATGGGGAGAATGGAGAACATATTATTATATTTAAAGGGGACCTATTGTGCAAAATCCACTTCTTCATGTCTCTTCTACATCAACATGTGTCCCCTCTTCTTCATGTCTCTTCTACATCAACATGTGTCCCCTCTTCTTCATGTCTCTTCTTCATCAACATGTGTCCCCTCTTCTTCATGTCTCTTCTACATCAACATGTGTCCCCTCTTCTTCATGTCTCTTCTACATCAACATGTGTCCCCTCTTCTTCATGTCTCTTCTACATCAACATGTGTCCCCTCTTCTTCATGTCTCTTCTTCATCAACATGTGTCCCCTCTTCTTCATGTCTCTTCTACATCAACATGTGTCCCCTCTGTGTAAAGAGACTCTGAAAGTTTCAGGAACAAAGATTCTCTCTCTTTTTGTCCTGATCCATTTCTATAAAAACCTGTCTGAAAATGAGCTGATCAGATTTTGGCCACTTGATGATGTCATAACGATGTTCTGGCTTGTGTAACCATTAGCCAATCAGCAACCAAGGTAACCCCCCCCCCCCCCCCCACCTTATCACCTGAATCTCCTCCTAGAGCACCATTGAGTTCTTTTTAACCAAATGTCTCTCAGAGGGGCGTGGGGAGGGGCTCCTTATTTTCATCTAAAGTAACAGACAAGAGAATCAGCACTTTGGAAACAGGGCTGAAACAGAGGGGATTATGGGATGCTGCAATGATCTGTTTGGTGTTTCAGCCAATCAGAGACATGTTCTGTATATATCTGAGACCTGTAATATTGATGAAAAACAGTATATTAGGGGGCCTTTAAGTCATTTAAAGTAGCACTCATACAGGAATCCATGAGCCTAATAATGAACATCTGCAAGCCCCATGAATATGCAATGATGTCTCCTCAATGCACAAAGAGGCTTAGTATAATTCAATTTCATATAACAGATAGTAATCTTTAGAGACCATTAGACACTGACTGGTTTAAAATGAACAAAAGCAACACATGGATTATTATGTGACGTATAATAGCATGCTACTCTGACAAAATATGAGATCCAGCATCAGATTATTTGGGCCATAGAGTTCAACTCTTAAAATAATTTGTTTTTAATAATGTGAGATTTATATGAGCACACTGCCGTCTCGTGTCCAATCCTTAATTGATTTTTATGAGGGTATGACATTTGAAAAGCTGAAAAAGGAAAATAGACTGAAGGAGAAAATAATCTGGAGCAAGTTGGCATTGTGGGGTGTTTTGTTGTTGGAAGCTTTTCCACACAAAAAATGTGCGGTTCTTACATTCATTTTGTATTGAGGTAGCCATATAACTATTATCCTAATAAACTTGTATTTGCGTGTCATTCACATTTACTTAAACATTTCAATAACATCAATTTTTAGCCTTAAAAGAAAGCACTTAATAGAAAATAAAGGAAATACTAACAATAGGTGGGTATGAATGTATTAATGTGTGACAGTTTAATGGGCGTCCAATTACCCGACGATATGCTAGTATATTACAGATCTTCACTGATTCTCCCACCTCCCTCATATTGACAGTATGATACATTTGACATTAGCCCGTATCATCCTGAGTCAGCGATACGCCATTGCCAGAAGCAGTGATACAATCAGCTGCAAGACATATTGAGCATTAGTCAAAATGCTGTCACGCCCATGCATTAGTGTGGAAGCAACATCCACGTTAAAGGTTTCCATATCAATTCATGGTTGTTGTGTTAGTTTCATCCCATACATAATGCAATGTCATTGGAGAAACATTTCATATTTCAGACACGTTCAACAAGGTATAGAAGGACAGAGATGAAGGAAAAATGACAGGACTCTTAACTACTGATGGATATGAAACCAATATGGCTGCCGTGTATTTCCTGTTTACTGTCGGTAGGAATAGTCCAGTCTTAAATGACTCCATTTCATGTCAAAGTGCTGTTTTGAAAATGTAAGCTACAGAAGTATTATCAGTAATATGTACCAAGTGTATATCAAACGTAAAAGTTTGCAAAATATATATTCTTTGACAGTTTTATGAAATATTATTTATCAGTGTTTATCACGGACAAATAATATTGTCTTAATGGGATAGTTGGTACATGTTAAGCCATTTCCAATACTTGTAATATGTTGGGTAGATCCTATTAGCATATCCTATGTGTTTACATGTAAACATCAACTTTTTACTATGAGAGTAAATGTAATGGAGTAAAAATTATGATATTCAGCTTCAAAATGTAGTAGAAATATCCAACATGTCAAAATAGAGTACATTACTTCATAAAATGTACTTAGTTATCTTACATATCTCAACAAATCATATTGTCTTAATGGGATAGTTGGTACATGTTAAGCCATTTCCCATACTTTGAACAATGTGTAGATCCTATTAGCATATCCTATGTGTTCACATAGCTATGTACACATGACAATAAAAGCCTTGAATCTTGAATTTTGACTCTGAGTTTTCTTACGTGTCTCCATGCCCTCGTCGTCTTCCTCCGGAGGCGCCGGGCGGTCGTAGGATTTGTCGATGGCGGCTCTGAAGCTCTCGTTGCAGCCCCGCCCCCTTATGATTCGGGGGCGTGGCCTATGGAAGGGGACGTCCCCATTCAGGGTTGCCTCGGCAACAGCCGTCTGAAGGCTTTCCAGAGAGCTGGACTTCTTCAGGCCGAGCGACGGTCCCACGTCCTTCGTGGAGGAACCTGAAGGGAAGAGACAGACGATTGTACTGGAGGAAAGTAATGGTGGTGATAGCTTATTACTGCATACTGTAGTATCACATGACTAGGTGTTTTGGTGCGCTCCGTTTTGTCTTATTTTGTGCGTTAATTCAGTGTTTACATACAGTACATCAAACTCTTTCAACAGGGAAGAGCTTTTCTTAAAATAGTTCTCCATCTGTATTTTTTATTTTTGTTTCACTTTTATGTATGCACCACGACACCAAGTCAAATTCCTCGTACGTGTCAACCTATCTGGTGATACACCTGATTCTGATTTCTATTCTACACTTATTTCTGGATTCCTATTCATTTCAAAAGGGTGCAAAGTGCAAAACTACTTTTCCTTAAACAAATATCACAGGGGGGATGGAGCAGTACTACTAGCTAAATGTAAGAGCCCAATACAAAACAAATGTCTTTTTTCCACAGTATATTATTATTATTCAATATTATATAATCCTATTTTTATCACCAACTAAAATACATCAGAGACAGATGATTGTACTGGAGGAAAGTAATGGTGGTGCATACTGTAGTGTCACATTACTACATTTCTATACTACACTTATTTCTGGATTCCTATTCATTTCAAAAGGTTGCAAATCAATGTTTCTTTAAAAACATATCACTTGGGGGATGGAGCAGAAATGTGATGGGGGGGGGGGGGGGAGACAGACGATTGTACTATTTTTTAAAAGTTTTTTCAGGACTCCACGTGGTCTGTGTTTTGTTTTTATGTTGACCTTACATTTCTGCCTCATGTTGTTATTGTATTCATGTTTCTGTGGTCTTAATTTTAACGTTTGTTCTTTCTTGTGAAGCACTTTGTGAATTCAATTTCTGGGAAAGGTGCTATACTAAATAAAAGTATTATTATTGCTACTGGAGGAAAGTAATGGTGGTGCTACGTAGCTTAGTACTGCATAATGTAGTGTCACATTACTACATTTCTATACCACACTTATTTCTGGATTCCTATTCATTTCAAAAGACTGCAAAGGGCAAATCCTTTTTCCTTAAACAAATATCAATGGGAGGATGGAGCAGAAATATGATGTGTAGCAGTGGTTTAGCAAAAACGCTGCAAGATAGTGTTAGCAGTGGTGGATAAGTACAAGTAAAGGTCATTCATTTAAAATGTTACGTATACTTAATAAGTATTCCCAGCTAAATGTAAGAGTCCAATACAAAACAAATGTCTCTTTTCACAGTATATTATTACTATTCAATATGATATAATCCTATTTTTATCACCAACTAAAATACATGTTAGCATTTACATTTTGTAGTTGTCAAGGTGGAGCTAATTAATGATATGTTATTTAGCACTGGGTACATTATGAGTGGGGTCGCGATTTATATCATACAGGCACTTAATGTGTTTACGTAAAGAGTAACAAGTATCTGTAAGTAGGGATGGGTATCGTTAAGGTTTTAACGGTACTACTACTTTTATCGATACCGCTTATCGGTCCGGTCTTTTAACGGTACTCTTATCGGTTCTTTTGGAGAAAAAAATTAGGTAAACTAACTATAGTTAGTTAATACACTAACTGTATGTCAGGGACTACGGATGGAAATGAGCTCAAAGCTAAAATCCGGCATATTTACACTTGAAGCATTATTTGTCTAAAGTGTTCATTAATGTGCATTGTCCCTATTCAAATAAACGATTAAATGAAAATTAACAAATTGTGAACAAAACTAACATTGCTTTTTATTTAAATGAAATACATAATATTTCACATCACCAGAAACAACAACGTTTTAACAAATCATATTAAATAATCTGATGACAGAACTGTGAACAGAATGGCTGAAACTTTAACAAACTAAATAACTCAGTTCCCTCTAATCATTAACCCATGTGTGAATCATTGAGTTAGCTCCGTGTGTTGCTGCTAGCATACATAACACCTGACGTGGAGACGTTACTCGTGGATGGGGCTACAGAGCTACTAGAGAGACAGTCGAACCCGGTGCATTTCTCCATCTGAATGTGGTGCACTTTTGCTAAATGTTTAGACAAATTGCTCGTGTTACCGCCCTTACATGCTAAACTCTTATTGCACTTTAGGCAACGAGCGAGACGGGTAAAGTTTAACCACACCTCGGAGCGCGTTCTCTCCGCCATCTCCTCCGTGTGTGTGTGTTGCTGCATGTAGCAGCTGCGTGTGTGTAAACTGCCCCGCCCCCTCGCACACAGACGGGGGAGAGAGATCTCTCGTCTGGATTGGAGAGATCGAAAATACTAAAAATGACGCATTTTGCAGTCTTTTTGCGTATTAGAAACGGAGTTGGCGACACTAAAACTGCAATATAATGTTTGTGTAGCAATAATACACATGACATATTTTTTAGATGTCTCCAGTACCGATAAAAAGACCGATAACGTCGGAGCTTAACGGTACCACGGTCTTTAATAATTCAGCCCCGGGGCCCGTTTAATACCGGGGCTCGGTACCCATCCCTATCTGTAAGTGATACATACATGTGGTGCAGTAAAAATAACAATATTTGCCTCAAAAGTGCCATGGAGTACTGTATATGTACTGTAACTTACAATGGAAATACTTACGTAAAGTATGTCAAAAAAGTACTTGAGTAAATGTACTTAATAACATTCCACCACTGAGACTTAGAAGTATATACTACTATGGCCACAAGCATTTAATTATAGTGAAAAGTTGTCTTAATATGTGGTTTTTCATATTATTTTTGGTTTCCTGTGATATCATTATTGGATTAACACAGAGTAAAAAACAACACTCTGGATGCTCTTCTGTAATTTAACTGGCCTGCATGTATTCTATGTTTACATAACCTTCAACATATCTTGATGACATCTTTTAGTGCAGTAATAAATATCAAACTGTGTCAAGAATCAACATCATTGACCTTGGCTGTGTTACAGGATGATGTAGTGAGAGAGAGAAGCAACATTATCATGAGAGCTTTGATGCAACATGACTCAACAGGATGATTCAGGGATGGATGGAGAGGAGGACAAATCTTTTCAGAACAACCGACTAAGCAAAGTGACACAACAAGCCACTTCCTGCCAAATCAAAATGACCAGCGACTGAAGCTGTCCAAGTGTGACCTCAGTGTCATTTTAGTACTTTTTCTACGAGGTAGATTCTGGGACTTGCTCCAGCCGACCTCACAACGACCCTAAAGGTGAACGGACACTGATAATGTCATCAGCACACGCAGTAAGTGAGATAACACAGAACCAGGAAATAAACCACCTCAATCTCAGGCTGTATTCTACAGCTCTTTTTTTGTAACACATTTGAAAATGTATAAGATATTTATAGCTAAAAATGTTAAAATGTTATCCAAACCGTCTGTGACATACTGGAAACCAACCATTTGTAACTGCAGCTTGGCTAAAAAACTAACAAAAAACAACTTCTGTACGCAGCACTTAGAAAGGTTTCGCTTATTTGAAGCTAATGCTGAAACAAATTACACTATGTAACAATTCGCTCTTCTATTGGCTCACGCTCCAACACATTGTATGTGGCGAAGGGGCGGGACATCTCTAAGCAGTTGACCAATCACAACAGAGCCGGCCAGCTAACCAATCAGAGCAGACTGGGCTCTGGTTTCAGACAGAGGGTGAAAAGAGGTGCTGCAGCACAGGCAGTATGAGAAAAATAAAGAGCTTTTTGAACATTAAAGCATGGACAGGGTTCATACACTTTTTCACCAATGATTTTCAATGACTTTTCCATGACTTCTCCATGACCTTTACCTAATTTTCCATGACCAAAAACATTACTCTTTCTCAGCAGTACCACTGAATATGGTTTATTTTAACATGGAACAGGAAAATAAGGTCTGCATATGAAACATGTTGTGTCTATCTAAAACAAATCAAATAGGCTTACTAGCTTCTACACGCTAAAGCAACTCAAATCTCTCACCAGCAAAATACCTCCATGCCATTTTACGTTTCATTACTATACGATACAGTATGTATTATCATTATAGTATTACTATTTCGGCGATTAGATAAAATATAAATTATATTTGATGCAACTTTAGTTACATTTCCATGACTTTGGGAAAAATATTGTTTTCCATAACTTTTCCAGGACCTGGAATTAGCATTTTGAATTTCCATTACTTTTCCAGGTTTTTAATGACCGTAAGAACCCTGCATGGAGACATGTCCCAGGAGAGGCACTACATACAAACATGAACATTAAAATAAGCAGAATAGGGCCCCTTTAAGACTCCTTTGCCCAGTGAACATCCAAACCATCAAGCAGCTTTTTAAAAGTAATAATAAAAATATGAAATCAGTCTTCCATCTTTTGCTATGAAGGAGCATCTCTCCTCAACGAGTAAAGAAACACCTCAGAGCCTCAGAGGACCAATAAGCTACTCTGACAACAGCAGAACATATTTAAACCTGGAAACTGTTCATTTCACCGAGAAGGAGATGATCGATTGTGTGTGTTTGTGTGTGTGTGTGTAACATTCCTCCTGACTGACTACACATTTCATTACAAGATGTGCCTCCGAATGAAAATAACCATCAGCAAAATAGGAGAAACATGACAGTTTAATTAAACTAAGACTATTTGTACGGCGGTGCAGGCATAATTTCTGTTCCCATATGGCTCCCTTCACACGCTGAAGAATGTGAACGGAGAAAAATAAATGTAAGGAGATAAGGTGACGAGGAGTTAAGGTAAGTGGAAGAGCCTAATCTCCTGGGAGGTGTCACTGTAGGAGAGCAACTGTGGGAGAAGTTTGCAAAAACACTATGTCTGACAGATTAACAAGTGGTGCCAAAGGACAGTATATAACAAGAGCAAGAGAGAAACGAAAATAAGTTAGCGAGGAGAAGAACAGCATTAAAGTTGGATTGAAAGGAGGGCGAGTAAGAAAGGAGGAGAAAGAAAAAAATGTTTAATAAATGCTGAAATATATAATATTAAAAACGATATATATATTATTATTTA